GACCAGTTTCCAGTGACGTGCAGAAGTGTATTTTTAAATCATTTTCGACTTGCCCTTTTTGATTTGTAAGAGTCCCCTATACATTCAAATTTTCTTTTTTAAATAAATTCTGAATCACCCTGTATACATTTTTCCACATTCACGTCCACATTAAAAAAAAGTTTCTTTTTTATTTGGGTGATTTTTTCTTCAAACCAGTCACAATCGTTAAATGAGGAAATTCTTAAATATAAAGTCTGAATGGTCCATTTATTAATTAAACATTAAACACTCCGTATATTCTATATATTTTGGTATTACGTTATTTATATGGATATTAGGTTCACAGAATACTATTTATTACACTTTATGCATCTCGCCTTGAATTTTAGTAGACTTAAAATTTCGTGATAAAGTTTAGCGATAAATATAACAAAGCACTGTAGAATGTTAAATATTGAGAGACCCACAGGACCAGACGGATCAATATTCTGACAGACAGATAGGCGACACCCTCGACATTTATAAAGCCAAAGATTACGTCTAAAGTAAAATGAAAAGCTTAAGGATGATAAAAGACCTGATAAATTGGAAAGAAAAATAACACGAGCTACTTAAAATAGGAGCACGGCCAAATAAAAAAATAGGTTAATAACTAGTGAAAAAAGTATATGATATGGTGACATTTCAAGAAAATATGTACCTATGAAATAGATTTAGGACAACTAAAACGAACAAATTATTTTCAATGAGTCATAATTGGGAAGACAATAGAGTCAAAGATGTAAGACTAACAAGAGTTATTCAAATGGAAATCGAGATTGCCAACAGACTGTGTCGCATCATGTAGATGAAGCATCTCTACACTTGTCAAAAAAATTAAAATTGTTCATATTAAAAAAAAATGGGATAATACTTAATAGTACCTATATGGAGGGCGTTTAAAATTCCCGAGGGACGCCACTGTGTATGGCTAGACAATAAGTAATTAATATATTCCTTGGTTCGTTGAGTTTAATTCAGAGGATGTCCTTGACTTATGCACTGTGGAAAAGTTTAATAATATTCTACATTTTAGAACCACTGTTTTTCGAAGTAGTCCAAAATAAATCACTATAATTATTGGTATGTGATAAGTACCTACCTAATAACATGATCAAATAAATTATTTTTGACGCAAAATTATAGGAAAAGATTAATAAATCTTAAACAATACTACATATAAATTAATATTCAATAACATTTATTCTCCTTGTCAAGACGCCAAAAAAAAGGATAAATTTAGGTATTATTTTAGCACTAAAATTTATCTAATAGTGATCATAGTACTTAAAAACTTCCATATGCCTTTAATCTACTATTTAAGATGCACACCTGTTTGTGTAAAAAATGATTGCCGTAGTTAGGATATGTGCCAAATTTATATAAATCTCTACATTCATTAGACCTGTGACGATGATCCTAAACAAAATTTGAAGCAATAATTTTCCATCCTATTTCTGTTTTACAGCCATTTAAAAATATATAAAATCTCGTAATTATATCACACCGAGTATCACACAATATCCGTAAAATCAATTTTATGAAAGTATATGCTTAAATTTTGAAGAGGACATCAATAATCCAAGATATTTGATTTTCTCGTTTAATGATAAAAAATAAATCTGGAATTTTTTAATGATTCAACTTGTGAAATTTTTTGCATGTTGCCATTTACTTACATTTTAAATTTAATATAGGGTAACAAATGTCGTGGGTTACTTTATACATACCATATCTTCCGGAAATGGGATAGATTTAACTCAGAATTTAAATATTTATTTCTGTTCGTGTTTTTGGCCACACGCCGAAGTAAATACTCAATTTGAGATTTGAGTATTTATTTCGTCGTAGGTACGATGCATTTATTTTGTTTGTTTTCATACTTAACTAAATATTTATTATTATAATTATAGTAGTAGTAATAAGGAGTTAACATAAAAAATATCAAAATATGAATATATAAACAAATATTTACAAAACTACGTTCCTTTTTAGGCTAATCGATATCAGCTTCTGTTACATGAGCACCTACCTATTTTATCTCGTTTTTCATTAATATCGTATGCAGAACTATCGTCCTCAAATATTCATTATATGCAAATATCTACTTATGAAACAGACGTCTAGATATGTATAAAAGTTGCCGGGAGACTTGCTGATCGAATTTTAAATTAAATGCAATTATTATTAATATAATTAATAAAATTAAAAAACATTAATTAATAATACAGAATTGTATACGAGTACCTATAACACATTAATCTACAAGTTATTTTGTATTTGTGCTAACTAAAAATTTCTTAAGAGAGGCTAATTAATAATTTCAAAACGGAATTAAAAATAAATAAGTGAACCTATTGTGAATATCTACGTCGATTTTACAATTCAGTTTCGACCTAGACCTAATAAACCAATATACTTTTAAAATAGTTCTGTTTATTGGCCAGTTCATTAAGGAATGTTTGTTGAATTCGAAGGAAAATTTTGCGTCTTTGTAAAACCTTAAACTAATAGTAGCCAATGCCATTTCCATTTAAAACAAAAATAGATACAACTGTGGCCAAATTTTACGTGGTATGTAAACATAACTTTCTATAATTAAATTATAATTTCAGAAACAGAATTATCGAAGCCATAATCATTGTACATCCAAATAGATTAATATGTAGTTATTCTTATATTTTTAAAAGAGGCATATACAAAAATGGAAAAATAATGGTTTAGCAATAACATGAAAATACTTTTTTTTGTTACTACATACCCATGAGCACATCTTTCTTGTATAAAAGGAATATTTCGTAAAATGTTATCAGTTATCACTATTCAAATTTCGTAAGGCCAAAATTACAAAATATAACGATTACCCCCAAGAGATTTAGAATAATAAACATGAAATTTAATTTGATTTATTTGAGTTCCTTGGACTTGGACTCGAGAGAATACTCAAATTTTAGTGATAAATTAGCAAGGGTAAATAAATATAATATTAACACTATGTAAATTTTAGTTTTATGTGATGAAGTTTGATCCAGAATAGTATTTTGTAATGTAGAACGTACCGAATACCTATCTATGATTTGTCAAATTTTGTACTTGTCATGTATACATACATATAAGAATAAAACACTTAAATTCTCTTTTCTGATAAATACGACAGTGTTATCTACCTATTTTCTTTTTAATTTCTAACATATCTGAAATGGCATACATAAATACATTATTAATTTATCTGTTATTTTTTGTTTAGCTACATACATAAATAAAATGCAGCAAATTATTTGTACAGTAGGTATATTATATATTTTGGTTTTTGGTAAAATTGCATTTCCCAGTAGGTAGACATACAGGGTGTTTCAGTTCGAGTGAATCAAACTTTAACCACAAATAGAACTCAATAAATAATTCAGAATTGCCTTATAAAGCAAGGGTCTAAGTCTCGTCGTTTTCATTGTACGGGGCTGTATTTGGTCGGTTCTTAAAATCATATTATTTATTAAATCTTTGGTATGCTTATAACAAATTGATTCAAATTTGGTATAGTGTTAACATTTACATATGTGCATAATTTACTGTAGGTCAGTGGCGTAGGAATGGGTAGTATAGCGGAATTTTTTAAAAACGGTGAGATTTAGACCCTTGTTTTTTAAAGCAATCGAGTTCTATTTGTGGTTAAAGTTTGATTCACTCGAACTGAGATACCCTGTATAACAGGATGTTATATAATTGACATGTTATGTTTAAAATCAATATTTTCAAGTATAAATTTTAAATGCAGAGTAAAAATAATATAGTGTGATCAGTAATGTATACGGTAAAAAATCTAACAATTGTGGACAAAAAAAGTTTATTTGTTTATAAAAGTTCCTAATTTCATCAACGTGACTGTTTAGTATATTTTTAGATATTTTGATAAATGATTAAAAAGTGGATTAAGTTAAGTTAGATTAGGTGAATCAGGTGTATTGTTCCAAATTTACACTAGATACTGTTGTAAGTATGTATTAGACTTCCGGTATAGTCTATAATACTTAGAATACTAAAATTCATCCCATAGAATTAAATAAAAATTACAAATTTTAACTTATACTTTGATTTTTTTATTTTAGCATTTAAAAAATGCTTTAGCGAATCATATCTACGTATCAAATTGAACTTTTGTTGACTTTTAGATGGTGTAAAAAAGTGAAGATAAAAAATGTAATTAATTCGATAAATATTTACAGATTGCGCAACATCTCATCATAACATACAGAATGTATGAAAATAAAATAAGTGTACATTTTATTTGATAATTAGTTTTCAAAATAATCCTTTGGTTTCATAGGTAGGTACCTAATTTGTAAATGTCTGAATTTTATAGGTGCAAGTAGATTTACTTATATTTAATTTTTATTTGGTACTTAGGTACTATTAGTAAATAGGGACTAAATAAGTTTAAATACTTATTGCATATTCATTCTATAGACGTTAACCATACATGGTAGAACGTATTTCCTTTAAATTTTTTTCAATTGACTAGCATTATTCTTCCTATTAAATAAATATGGGTCAAAAGGTAGGGATGAATATCTAAGCAGATAAGTACATCTGCAGTTATTTAATAATTTAGTTACTATTTTTTTTGTTTGCAGTGTAATCTCCCTAGGATTATAACAGTCCGTTTATTCATTAGTTTGGGGTCAAGAATTAGTCAATAATCTCGGTTCTACCTCTCAAATGATGAGATTATTCCTTGTATTGATTTTTTGGAGGCTTGCGCAAAATATACTCAAAATTCACACAATATTCTGGATAACATAAAATCTAAAATTACTCGTAACTAACTTAAGATATTTTTAGAAAAAAAACACATCTCTGTTCCATTTTCATTTACTATAAAGGAGTCAGAGATCACATGGATTCTCAGCCGCCTTATCCATCGCAAAAAAATCTGTCTACAGGGATGTGTTTTTTAATTTTTATTCTGCAATTACCCTTACCTATAGCGGGATGAGTCTGCCCTTATATTTGTCTGTTAAGATACAACTGATTTTTTTCTAGACTTCACGCAACAACTAAGTTACAGTTATGAATGAGATTCCAAAAGGGCAAGTTTTTTGTTAATAGAATGGCAATAAAATGCGAATTCTACAGATTTTTCTCGCAAATACACTATAACAGGGAAACACGCTACCGGTAACCACAAAAGACCGACATGAATTATCCGAATGTCCCAGAATAAGTGCTGCGCGTTTCCAAATTGATTTTAATGCGCACCTCAAACGCCGGTTTTGCATTATTTTATCTTTACATGATATACTTCTATTCCAAAACAATTCAACAGAAATTAACGCAAAAAAAGAAACAACTGTGTTACTTTTAGAAAAATAACGTATGGATATATTCGAAATGTTTTTAGAATGGTTAGTATATTCTATAGCGTTGACATGCTAGTTTCGAAACGACTAGTTAATTTCGCCATTTTCATAGCCTACTTAGTTTTAAGACATTTTTTTTCTTTGTAATGCCTACATAAACATAATGTGTACTTAATTTAAGGTAAAAAATGAACAGCTCTGATTTAACGCACCGTATCTATTAGCAAATATTCAAGAAATTTCCGAAATATTCTAGTCGATTGAGTAATAGTATGTAATTACATATTTGTTGGATAGTGTAAATAAATATGGACACAAATAGAAAAAATGTCAGCTTTGCTATTGGATAATGTTATGTAAATAATGCAACACATACGTATTGAAAAATAATGCAGTTATTAATGTTACGTCGGTATGCTCTCAGGTATCAACATAGTTGCGAAGGACAAAGATGAAGATGTAAATAGTTAAACTACGAAGTTTAAGGTTAAAATTTCATAAAAACATCGGATCAAATGCATATAATTTAAAATGTGGGTCAACTTTCACCACTATTAGCTTTCCTGAGAATAGTTTCGTATCGTATTTATTCAGTAATTGTAATCACAATAATTATAAGGTAGCTACAAAAATGTCTCTCTCGAAGTTAACGCTGCAACTTGCTCGAAGAAATATACTAGCTGGAGGCTCTTTAGTAACAAATAAATTAGATCAACATAGGCACATCACTTATTCTGATATTCGAAAAGCCAAATTGGCTCATGAAAAGAAACCTGACTGGAATAGAGCTGTTAGCGAAGCAGAGAAAATTGTGGGATATCCCACGTCTTTTTTGAGTTTAAGGTGGTTGTTAAGCGATGAAATTGCTAATGTTGCTTTACATCTTAGGAAACTCGTGGGCTCCAATCACCCCTTGCTAAAAACCGCAAAGTAAGTGTGCTGCATTTTTTCTAGGTACTACTCATTTTGTTGTCGCTTGTTTTATAATTGTTACAGTTAAGTCAGCAAAGGTCAGTTATCTGTAGTGTTATTTTTGTCAAGTGTGCAAACCTTTTGATAAAAATGAAATATGATTTTGTGAAACATTAAACATTTTAAACTAAATAAAATTTATCAGGTCTTTATGATCCTTTAGAGACTATATTTTAAAAAATAAGAAGCTATTCCATTTATGTATTTTTTCAAGATCTTACACAAAATATAAATTTCGAGAAAAACTGGAAAAGTAATGTCAGATAAAATTAACATTGTAGTAGTGTGAAAAATTAAGTGATACTTTGTTAAAATTTAATTTAATGAACATTTAAGCAAAATAAAACATAAATTAATGTATTGTATTTGTATAGTTATTCTAAAAAGTTATTCTAGAACTTTAAATAATATATTTAGGTACATACTTACGCATTTTTAAACATTAAAGTAACTTTCTACATACTGCACTGTACAATATATATTCAACACGCATCTTTATGCAGAGCCAAAAATTATACATACCTCCTTATTACCAAAAAAACAGTTTAAAATTCTCTTAAATCAAAATAACAATTAAGAGATTGATTTTGTTTGCATTTGTAGAGGTCTCTTATACAATGGAAAAAACAATATGCAAGCCTGGGGTCTAATAGTACTATTAATTTCTAAAGCTGCTGGACATTCACCTGATATTCCTGATATGGAGCAAGACAAGGCTGCTGGGGTTCTTCATAGTCAAAGAGCTCTAGCAGAGGTTGCAGAAATGATCCGAACAAGTCACTTGGTCCACAAAGGCCTTGTAAATCTTCAACCTAATGACCCATCCTCAGATCCCACAGGTGAGTAACTTATTTCACAATATATCTAATATTCAAATAAGATGTTGCTTTTGTTTAAATTATTCTATCAATGACAGTTGACAACTAGTGACATCTGTTGGAAATTGTAACTGTCAACTTTCTAGGACACCCAGTATTTATGGAATATGTCAAAATACATTTTATTTTAGGAGATATGATGTTTGGAAACAAAATAGCCCTTCTAAGTGGTGACTATCTCTTGAGCAACAGTTGTGTCGAACTGGCCAATCTGAGAAATCAAGACTTAGTCGAGCTGATGAGTTCAGCTGTAAGAGACTTGGCTGAGGCTGAATTTGTCGGACCGAGGGACAAACAAAATTCCCCATTACCGGCAAAACCAAGACCTGATCTTGTAGAGTACAAACAGTTCACAGATAATACTTTAGAGCCTTTGGTTGTGAGTGAGGCATTAGGCAACGCGAGATCTGAATGGACGCTGAGACATGTACTGAACGCAGGTGAGAAACAATTGATGACTTACAATTTTGGGTAATTATACAGGGTGTAACTTTGAATGGGACTCATATTTATATGTAGCCTATCTTTGAACTTTAGAAACACATAAGTTTGTTTTCTCGGAAGCTCATATTCAAAATGAAGACTTACAATATACATAAGTATTAAATCTCGTTTTCTTGATTCATTTACAGAGAAATGTAACAATGCACTTCTTTTCAGGAAGTTTGCTTGGTAAATCCTGCCAAGGTACACTAAAACTAGCCGGCCACCCAGAAGACTTGCAAGAAAAAGGCTACCTCTTTGGCAAACACCTAGCCCTAGCGTGGCAAGCCTGTCTGGACAGGGAACCGTTCACCCTAAACTCCACGGGCCAATTCAGCCTTATCAGCGCCCCCGTTCTCTTCACTCTGCAACATGATCCTTCTTTATACACTTTAATAGAGAAGGGGCAGGAAAATGTGGAAGACGTCGATTACGAGGCACTTCGAAAAGCGGTTATTGAAGGACCTGGGCTTGAAATGACTAAAACATTACAGAGAGAACATTCTAAGGCTGCATTGGAAGTGCTGAATGAGTTACCGCCTTCTGATGCTAGGACTGCTTTAGAAAACATAATTGCTGCTATGCAGGATTGAGTCGTTTGAACTACCGATTGATGGGAGTAGGCATTAATGTTTGCAGCAATTGTTTTTAATCAGAAGAGGGATGTTCTGGCAGAGGGATTTTTTATATTAATGACATGAGTTCTCTTCTCTTTTATTGGCAAAAATCCCTCAATTTACTATGATTTTTTAATTATTTTTATATATTTTTACAAACAATTAACAATTAACGTATTTAACATTATAACATATTTTATATATTTACATTCCATGTTACCGTATTAAAAGACCAAAATAAGGATAGTATTAATCTTATACTTAAATGTTTTTCGCAATGATGCAACAGCAAACGCATTTATTGAAATTTCTGTGATATTATAGTTGGCACCTGTTTTAATCTGTATTAAGGCATTTGCCAAAATATACCGAATAGTAAAAATGCAATACCAATAGAGAAGAAAATATGTAAGATAGATTTAGGAATGTTAAATGATATTTTTCTATTGTAAAAGTTGGTATGGGTGTTTTTAATAAAAAAAATTATATAATTGTATTAAAAATGTGTAATTATTCTAATTGGTGCACGAGAATCATCAACAGTTTCCTGCAGACAGAAGAAACACATTCATGAAATATGTGGAACAGTATTAGAAAATAGAAAGTGTAAAACATCAACCGCATTTAAAGCTGTTTATTGCGAGCGTTTTCAGTAATTACAGATATTTGTCAACTCGGTCATTTGTTTTTCAAGGTGTTATTCATTTTTCAGGTTGCCAAGTGACAAACGAAATTATTTTGACAACAGTTCATCATCACCTTATCGTATACAAAACTTTTTCCTTAACAAGAAGCCAACTGTATGAGCGGAAAAATGTTTATTTTTAGAGGCAAGATTTTCTCATCGATTAAAAAAAAATCAAAATGATTTTATTCGAGAATTAGCAAACAAAATTTTACTACAAGTTAATATGATGTATACAGGGTGTGGCGTGTATAATCTATAAAAATTTGTGAGTACACATGCTGCAAGTGACCCATTTTTAAGCATTACGCAAGAGTGCCAGCAGGACGCTGCCAGACGCACCAGCGTTCCAGGAATGGTCTACTGTAGACTGGCGCCGGCGACCAGATGGTTACTCATATCCCTACGACTGACTCCACACACAGGGACTCTCCAACGAACACTCACCCCGTCAACACGTCTTTTTCTATACAAGTTAGTTTTTAATAAAATACTTTATCATTACCGTTGAGAGAGCGTTTTATTCTTGCTGTACAGCGAAAGCAACCCTCAAGTGGTGACCCCGACGTGATGTTTACAGTGAAAGCAACCCTCAAATTAAACTATAACTTCCTGATGATATTTGTAATAGAAAACTCATATACGAAAGAGTTCTATCTTTGTTTTTTTTTTTTTGAAATTAAAGTTTATTATTTATTCAAGGGAAATGAAGGCTGACCCTGTGTTATTTGTTAAAAACTTTTATTTTTATGTGACCCGAGATACAACCTTATAATTTAAATCGGTATAATCTAATACTAGTAATACCAAAAGAAGGTTAGGTTACATTGTTAAAAAATTTGTGCAGTCAACTGATTTTGTATTTGTATTGAATTCATTATTCACTACATTATTAAATATTAAGCATCGTCATCGACCCATCAGTGTTAAAAAGTGAAAGACTCCAGACGAAAGTTTTTACTTTGTAATTCCACGATAGTGACTGTAATTTTTATAAAGAAGTAACAAATAAGAATACTGTGCGGATTACATTAAAAACGAGATTCTTATTTCTTACTTCGCTTAATTTTTTAGTTTGTGCATAAACTAGTTTTAAAATGAACCGAGAAAACAATGCATTTACTATTTCCGAACGTGTCGATATGGTGTTAATGTATGGTGCAGCCGGAGAAAATGTGCTCGCGGCGACTAGGTCGTACGGGAACGGTGGCCACAACGTCACCCCCCATGTGCAAATACAATTCTACAGTGCGTTCAGCGGCTGCGAGAAAGTGTTATTCCTCGAGAAGAAGGACGTGGTCAGCAACTGAACCTTAATGTTGAAGATGCAGTGTTGGAAAATCTTGACGAAGACCCCACAATTAGTACTCGACGACTCGCATAGCACGTACGAACCTCATCTCGTACCGTACATCGCCTCTTAAGGCGCCAGCTGTTGCACTCCTATCATCTCCAACCAGTTCAACAGATTTTACCTCCGGATTGTGATCAACGAATGCGTTTTTGCAGATGGTTTTTACGGCAATGTGCCAATCAAGTTGTCTTTCCTGCTTATGTTTGTGTAACAGATGAGGCGACATTTACCCATAATGAAGTGAATTTCTTTAATATGCATATATGGGCCGATGAAAATCCCCTTGCGATTAGGGAAACTCATTTTCAACATCGGTTCTCGGTAAATGTTTGGGCTGGCATAATAGGCGATGTACTTGTGGGTCCCTATTTCTTTGAAGGACGACTAAATGGACCAACATATGCTGACTTTTTGGAGAACCGGTTGCCTGAATTATTGGACGATGTGGCATTACAAGTTTGGGCACCCATGTTTTATCTTCAAGATGTATTTGAGAAGTAACGACACTTGAATGAAATGTTTCCTCAGCGATGGATTGGACGCTTTGGTCCTGTGCCGTGGCCGCCTCGGTCACCCAATCTAACTCCAATGGACTTTTATCTTTGGAGTCACTTGAAGTAATTGGTTTACAATACTCCAATTGCTACGGTGAAAGAATTGCGAAACCGCATACTTGAAGCTGCTGACACAATTAGGGGAATACCTGGGATTTGGGAAAATATTCGCCAAAATTGGGTGTGTCGGTACCATGCCTGCATCCGCACTAATTGGGATCAATTTTAACTTGTTCTCTAGAAATGGTAAGTTTTATTTCATTTTGTTCTATAGTTTGTTTAGTGCACGCAGTTGGCAACTACAGATGCTTACGATGTGGTTTTGTTTGCAAACTCTTGCAGTAACAACAATGCATTTAAGATAGTAAATACTATTAATTATTATAATAAGAAAATATCTGTTTTTTTTTAAATATCTATTTTTCTTAGTTTGCACTTTAGCACTGAAAAATTCCCCAAAAATTGAGAAGTATCTTTCTATCTTTCAAAGACGATTTGTTTACATGGCTGGTCTACAGCACGTAATTCATCGTACAGTACACGGACAAGACTGTTCCAGAGAAAATATTTTGATCCATAATCGAACTTTAATTTACGAAAAAAAAAGCAAAAATAGAATATTTTTGTATAAGACTTTTCTATTACAAATATCGTTAGGAAGCTGTAGTTTAATTTTTATAGATTCTACATACCACACCCTGTATAATAATAATAGGTCAACCTCTCCCCCACACAAATAATTGCGATTTAGGTAAAATGTATACTAGGTGTCTGGAGACAAATGAACCGTAGCAGAACGGTTTAGATCAACCCACCTTAATAGAGTTTTACTTCCTTAAAAACTTGTTAAATTTTCTTATTTTATTTCATGTTTTTAAGATAACTTTTTTTTACTACCTATTTAAAATATTCTAACGAAATTTGGTAGGTAGAAGAACATTTTTAAGATTATCAAGGAAAAAACATACTTATTTTTTATCTAAAACATGTCGCTAAGAGCACCTTAAAAATTTTTTTTTTGAAAGGCCAAATTTTTATAAGGAAGCAAAATTGTACCAAGGTAACTTTACCTAAATTGGTTTACTTTCATTAATGGAAGTTACTACCCTTGAAGTATGGCGAATTTATTTCCGGCCACCCTACATATGATTCTTTTGCTATTTGTCAAATAATTTGTTATTTCTACGGATACGATCTAGTCAAATATTTATAATTTTCTAGGTTTATGAACTTAGCAGGAGCTTGATTGTAGCCACGGCAACCACCAGTACACACACATACAAACATGACATTTCTGCATTGCAGTTTAATTGAATGACACATTTCATATTTTTTTATAATTAGATTAACTGTGGATACTAATTACTCAGAACACAATGACAAGTTGTAGTAGTTCAGTCTCAGTGCAAAGGTCTTCCAAGACAGAAGACCAACGGTACGTACAAAAATTACTTTCTTAGCCAAACAATGCAAACAATGTTCGAGAGTTTCTTTGTCTAAGAATATGTATTGTGAACTTTATATATAGCCAGGTTCGATTGGGTAGAATACAGCGTTACGTAAAGCTATTGTGTTTTTGCGATATAAATAGTGTTGTTTCAGGAGTAAAAGTTGCGACACAGCCTGTTCATCAAATTCAAGTTGTTTCTTCCAAAGAAGGAAGCCAATGAATCCCCTTATGTATCCTGTAAAACCTAATTATGCAAAAAGTTCAGGAAATACAGTCCGCCAAAGAGTTTTATCGGCAAAACTTCTAAAATTAAGATCTTTACAGAATCAGTTAAACGATGCCAACTTCCATTTGTCAGTAAGTAAAAAGAAGCAATAAGCTTTCCCTAAACTAAAATTATCTAAATTGATTTTAGGAACTCAGCAAAGAAAACCAAACCCTAAAAAATTTGCAAAAACGCCAAGACAAAGCTCTTTCCAAGTAAGTTATAAAATACCACATTCTTTAGTTAGCGTTTAAATTTTAAATCGTTGTAGATATGAAGGCATGAATGAAGATTTACCTCGTCTTCTTCATGCGCACGAAGAACAGACTCGTGTTTTATCCGAGAAAACCAAGTCCCTTCGGAAAAACGTCAGGGAACTGAACGACCTTCTGAAAACTAAAGAAGAAGAATTAGCAAGGGCCCAAGAAAAACTGAGCCACTTGGAAAAACTAAACAAAGACAAACACTTGATCGATAGAGAAAAACTGATGGACCAACTGGAGGATATGAAAATCAAACTGCAGAAATCGGACGAACAAGTTGCATTTTTGAACAGGAAGCTAATGCTGGAAAGTAAGGCGTCCAAACAGAGGCTGAATGCTGAAATGATGAAGCATAAGCAGTGTCAGAAGCAGTTAAATCAAGCCTTGATGGAAATCGATAGGTTGACAGGTGTTTTGGAGGTAAAAATAAATAATCTAGGCACCGCTAAAAACGTGCACCAGTTGATTTTCTTGAGAAGGGTTAATTTGGTTTGATGTCCTTTTTTATTATAGGCTTAGTGCCAGCTTTTAAATTCATCAATGGAAGGTGTGTCAAAATATACAAGGTGTTCCTAAATAAGTGTCGCAACGGAAAACTGTAAAACATTTTTTTCCTTTTCCATTTTTCTCTCCGGGCTTTCGATACACGGTGTCAAAACTTAACCCATTTGATTATTTCTCATGGGGTCACATGAAGAGCATTGTCTATGAAACCCATGTCAATACGGTCGAAGAATTGACAGCTAGGGTTGAAACCACAGCGGAACAAATTAGAAATACCCATCAAATTATGAACAACGTTCATAGAAACATATTCCGATGATGTAATGCGTGCATTCAAGCCAACGGATGTAATTTTGAATTTTTTTTTGTAAATTTTAGTCGCTAAAATGATAAAAATTATTTTTTTTTAAATTAAATTCCTATCTGTTGTTAAATTTCGTTAAAATTGTTAATTATTACTACCTATTTTTTGAATTAGAAAAGATTTTCGAAACAGCAAAATGTTTGTTTTTGTTCATAAAAAGTCATTTTTCTTGAAAACGGTTGACTTTAGAGCAATGAACTAAGAGAACTCTTTTTGTGTAAAATTGCAAGAGGTAACAACAAAAAAAAATTCAGTGACAATATGGGTACTTAGATTTCCTTTGTTATTGATTCTGTTTTTATCACTGATTTTTTATTGTTGTTGCAGTTATTAAGTTTTTTAATTTTTGCAATAAATTGATGTGGTTTCATGTAATTGTGTATGTCAATTATTAATACAGAAATAATAATTGTTCAAAAAAGATGGATTTTATAGAATGATTTAGTTCATTTTGACTATTGGTACACTCTATAGACTATTTCAAATATCAAATAAAGAAAACTTAGACTAATGCAAAAAATTAAAGGGTCAAATGAATTCCGAAATTTTTCTGTGCTTTTTGACGGACTCTTTTTAGGTTAAAAATGGTCGTATCGGGAATTAAAAAAAAGGGTTTTGAAGCTCTAAAATTCTAGTTTTTAGATCTTTCAGTCGAAATTTTTTAGGAGCTACGATTATCATGCAATTCTAAGAAATACCGCGATAAAAAAAATTTGCAATTTTTTTTTCCACGGACTTGGAAAAATTTTTTTCAGCTAAGCCATTGCATGGACCAGATAGCTTGTTTATTCAGCTTCAACTTCCTTTTTTTCAAATTTCGATACGACCATTTTTCATCGAAATATCAGACTTTTAATGGAAAAGGATCCTTTTGTCTTCAATAATCCATATCTCGGCGACAAACAGTCACACAGAGAATTGAAGAGCAATTTCGAAAACTGGAATAAATTTCCTATAACATGCCGCTGCAACTTTTCGGAAAAAATTTTTTTTTCATCTTTATATGAATTTTAAAAAACAGGAAAAAAAGGGTAGTTTATGGTTTTTAGAAAATTTACGGCTAAATTAGAAATATTCACGAAATGACTAATGTTAAGCATGACTTTTACAGTTCGATACACCCAGAAGAACCCTGTGAAGTTTCATCTCGGTCTAGCGAACCGTTTCTTTGTTTCAAACAGACAAACTTTTGAAAAAAATTAAAGAATTACGTTTTTTGAGCTTAAGCTTAAACACTTCATAACCATGAATAAAATGGTTAATAATAATTTTTTTGAGGTTTCCTTACATTTTCACCATAAATGTTTAAATTGAAGGAAAAAATAAATCGGGGTCAAAATCTGGTTTGGGTCATCAACTTAATTTTAATTTAATTAAAAGTTGATGAACAGAAGCATAGGACGAAAAAGCCGTATCGTACTGGAAACAATATTTGTTTTCTTCAATATCCGGAAGGTTTTCCAAAAAAATAAACTAACATTTTTTTCATAAATTTAAACGTTATTTGTGGAACAATGTGAGAAAACCTCAAAAAAAAATTATTTTTTTCCATTTTAATCATGATTATAGTGTTTTAGCTCAAAAAACATGAAATTTTTTTCAAAAATTTGACTGTTTGAAACAAAGAAATGGTTCGCTAGATCGAGATGAAACTTCACAAGAATTTGCAAATTTTTTTTTGTCGCGCTATTTCCTAGAATTGCATGATAACCGTAGCTTCTAAAAAATTTGGACAGAAAGATCTAAAAACTAGAAACTTAAGAGCTTCAAAATGCTTTTTTTTTTAATTCCCGATAGGACCATTTTTCACCTAAATACAGTCTGTTAAAAATTACGGAAAAATTTCGGAAATTCTTTTGACCCTTTAATTTTTTGCATTAGTGTATTCTTTTTTGCACCCTGTTCTGGAAGATTTTAAATAAAATTGAAATATCTGTCTGAAAATCAAGACCCTGATTGTCATTTCGACTATGGATATATACATTTTTATTACAGTATTTGAAAGGCATGAAAATGATTCTGCCAAAACAAATTTTAATTTGACTATTTATTTCAGTTAAAAAAAATTATCACTGATTGGTATTCTGGGGAACACATACCAGTAGTACCCCTAAAAAATTAACGCGACTGATCCACATTTAAAGTTACACCCCTTATTTTCTGAAAACTGAAATTTCAATAATAATTTCTATATTGACATTGTAACTTAGGATATAGCTCCAAAAAAAAATTATCAAAATCAGATTAGCTGCTCCTGAGAAAATCAACTTTGAAAGTAGTCCTTTTCTCCAGGTTTTATACTTTTCACAATTTTACAGACCAAAGACAACGTGATACAACCTCGGAAAAACAGATTTACACGTCTGGCCCAACGTCAGTCATTGTCAATGGTAACACTACCCACTCACCCGAACGGATTAGCAAGTTCGGATAAATTTTCTGCAATAAACGACTTGGAAGTGAATGGAAGCAAATCTGCAGTTACTGACATCAAACTGGAACCATTAAAATGTGTAAAATTGGACGATATTCCCCAAAAAAAATCAAACGGAATTTTAAATTTGCCTTCGGAAAACATAAAAAATAGGTTGTCGAATTCTTCGGCACACAGCAGAGGAAGTGTGGATTCGTTTTCCTTAAACGATATAAAAGAACAAAGTTCGGGATCAGAAGCATCTTTAGATCTCAGAGAGAATTTGACTGGAAGTAGCGAGGTAGAAAACAAACACCTTTTAGAACCTAAAATTAATTCTACCGGTAGCAGCGATGTAGAGATTAAATCGCACTGTACACACAAAACAGTTAAATCAGAATCTACAGAGAGCAGTAAACTTGAAAGAAACCGCCCAAGCTCGAGTACAAAATTAGAAAAACTCGCTTCACATTTGGACAACGTAATACAGAAGAGCATAGAAAACGGGAATGAGGAATTAGGCGCCAAATTGGGAGAAATTTCTGCGGATATCCTCACTAACGTGCGTGTTTGTAACGAAAGGCTTGAAGCACAAAAAGAAAGTCTCAAGAAATCCAACGAAGACACAGACACAATATTCGAAGCTTTCCAGAGGACAAGGAAACTAGAATCGAGGCTGAAAAATTCCCTTCTGAATTTCCAAGAGGGCGAAATGGGTTTTGTTAGTGAAATCTTATCAGAGGAAATTAAATTTCAGTTGCATTCGAAAGAAGATAAAGAGACAGACAAAAACGGCAATATAACTAAAAGGGAACCCCGGGTTAACTCTGAGGACAAGAAGAAACTTTTGGCTACACTGAAAGCTATTGATAACGGCGATAGTTTCAACAGTTTAGACGGTAGTCCGACACACAAGCAAACGAATCTAACGAAAGAAATTTTCAGCGACATGTTAAAATGATTAAAATTATTATATATTTACATATTACTACACCTACTTTTATATAACGTTTTATTTCCATAAAGTATATTTTAAATAATCAATGCATGATTTATACAATTTTGTACATAATAATTAAAATAAAGAATCTATACATTTTAAAATGTACAAATTACAAAATAAATTAATTTAGTAGGAGAAAATAAAATATTTACATTTATTCTTACACGGTACGTTTTATCACAGAGATCTGCTCTGCATCCTTTCCTGAGAATGGTTTTGTGTGTTCCACAGCTTCCAGTACAGACTATTCGGATTTTGCAATAGCGTAAAATGGGAGCCTTGTTCGCTAACCTTACCATTTTCAAGTACAAAAATTTCATCGGCGTCCATTATAGTGCTGAGGCGATGCGCGATGCATATGCTAGTGCGGCCATGGGTAGCATTTCTCAGCGCCTTTAGAATGTTCTGGAAAATAATAAACTATACTAAATAATAGTCGCAACAGAAAACTGTAAATTCCTCTTGAAAAGAGAAACATTTTTTCCCTCTTCCATTTTTCTCTCCGGGCTTTCGTTTTTGAGATACACGGTGTCAAAACTTTATTTTTTTAATTTTTTGCCAATATTTTAGGAACCGTTTGAACTACAGGACTGATCTTTTATACACACATTACCATTATTAATAGCTACTTTTTCGCCCCTTCTCGAATTCATTGAACGAGCCAGTGGTGGAAATTTTAAGGTATCGTAAGGGGTTTTCCCCGCTAACTTTTACGCCACTGGAAAAATTGACATTTGACAGCAAATTCTGTAGCGCCAATGAATTTTTCACAGAAAGAGTTCTCTTGGTTCATTGCTCTAAAGTCAACCGTTTTCAAGAAAAATTACTTTTTATGAACAAAAACAAACATTTTGCTAACGTTTCAAAAATCTTTTGTAATTTAAAATATAGGTAGTAATACATATTAACAATATTAACAAAATTCAGCAATAGATAGGATTTGAACTTTTTTTTATCAATTTGGTGAGTAAAACTTACAAAAACTTCAAAATTACGTTTGCAGACTAATGTATGTTCAAAAGCTGAGTCCTATAATTCAATAACGGTTCCTAAGATATTGACAAAAAACTAAAAAAAAAATTACAGTTTTGACACCGTGGGAAATTATTTTTGCAGTATACAAAAAAAACTTACATATTCCGTGATAGAATCCAGTGAGCTAGTCGCTTCATCAAAAATCAAAATGGGTGAATTTTTCAAAATGGCTCTGGCAATCGCCACCCTTTGCTTTTCGCCTCCGCTCAGCTTTAATCCCCTTTCGCCTACTTGGGTTTCGTAACCGTTAGGCCAAGTTACAATCGAATCGTGAATTTCAGCCATCTTAGCAGCTTGGATGATATCCTCCTCGCTTGCTCTAAGATCTCCGTAGTGTAAGTTATATTTGATAGTGTCGTGGAATAGTACGCTATCTTGAGGTACAATCGAAATCGACTTACGCAGGCTCTCAATATCGACCTCGCGGATATCTTGGTCACCTATATAGATTCTACCTCGAGTGGGTTCGTAGAACCTGTACAGCAGTCGGACTAATGTGGATTTGCTGAAAAGTGGAGTGAAAATTAATTTAAAACGCTTTGTTCTATTGTCTGGTCACGTTTCCAGAATAAAATTTGGATGATCCTGGATATACTTACCCAGATCCCGATCCGCCAACAATTGCGGTTTTCTTACCAGGTTTGATCGTTAGGTTTAGGTTTCTGAGAATCTCCTTGCCTGGTCCATATTCAAATGAGACATTTTCAAATTTAATGGTCGAGCTTTTTGCATCCACATGAAGATAAGGTGCATTCGAATTGCTCTTAAAAACAGATTTGATTTATTCATGTGTTCAATTGAACAATCAGCCAATATTCTGCTTTATTTTTGAAAAAGTTTTTACTATAGTGAATTATAGTCATTTTTTATTTAAAAAATATGAAAAATTAAAATTTAGCAAGCAATTTGTGTATGTTGCATGCATGTCTCACTTTAAATTATAATTATGGGCCACAAAGCATATCAAGTACATACTTTTACAGCACTATCCATTGTCATAAGCGTGAACATGGTCTGCATATCAATCAAAGCTTGTCGCACTTCTCTATAAACACTGCCTAAAAACCCTAACGGTATGGAAAGTTGGAAAAGTAAACCATTTACCATTACTAAATCGCCCACCGTCATATTACCTGGCAGAGAATAATAACCGTAATATTGACAAAAAAAAATAAATCCATTTATTAGTTTGTACCTTTAACAATTTCATTTGCTGCTAAAATCATAATCCCACTTAGCGCTGCACTAAAAATAGCGTTCTGACCAAAATTTAATAACGCCAAGCTAGAACTGGTTTTCAAACTGGCATCCTCATATTTTTTTAACACGCCGTCATACCTATCTGCCTCAAATTTTTCATTATTAAAGTACTAAAAAGGGAAATACATTAAAGAGATATGTGTAACAAGAGGTGATAGGACGTACCTTAACGGTTTCATAATTTATCAAAGAATCGATGGCTTTATTGCCTGCTTCATTTTCAGCCTGATTCATGTAAATTCTAAATTTAGTTCTCCACTGTGTGACAGTTAAAGTGTAAACAGCGTATATGCCGACACAACCCAACGAGATTCCTGAAATTTTAAAATAAGGCTAATATATTTTGCATTTAATATAATGCCGGTTAAAAAAAGTCTCAAAGTAATTTATGCCCGTTTTGGAAATTTTAGTTTTAATTTTTTTTTTTGTTTGTATAGCACAGAGTTGCATTCTATTTCAAATAAACGATGGAAGAGACATTATTGGAATTAGTGATATTATTCATATCAATACATATCTTTAGTCTTTAGTATTTAAGTACATACTTCAATATGCTACAAAAAGATAAATGATCAAATTCATGCAGAGTCATGGAAGCAGTACATTATTAGCTGTACATAATAACATTGATTTTGTCCAAACGCATGCACTAACAAAAAATTTAAACGAGTAAATAAAAGATAAATTGGTGAGGGAGAAATAATTAGTAATAATTCACTGTTTATCTGAGATAAGCACAATAATCAATAATTATTAAATATTCAAAGGTCGGCAACTAAGTGATAGGGTTATCAGAATTTATCTATGACACGTCTAGGGGTATGACAATTCAAAGAGCGGTGTTAATACTATGTGACTTACCTGCAAATGCAGCGCCACATTTAATGCCCAATATCGAGGAAACTAAGGCTAATTCGAAAATAGTCGGAACCACATTAAATACCATCGCCGATAATACAAAATTAATTCCTCGAGAACCTCGGTCTATGGTTTTGGAAAGAGCACCTGAAAATTTTAAAATATATTAAAATTCATTAAATACTAACTAAATTATACATTACCTGTTTGTCTTTGTAAATGGAATGCTAAATCTAAATTATGTAAATGTAGGAAGACATTTTTCGCAATTTTTCTGATTGAATGTTGGGCGACCTTTGCAAATACCGCATTTCTTAATTCGTTAAAACCCGCAGCACTGGCTCTTGCTATACCATCTGGAATTAAAAACTTATTTACCTGTGTCTTATAATGTATTATTATAATTTTCTATTTTTATTATCACTTACATCCGAGTAACAAACTTGTAGCAATAGTGGCTGCTGTCTGTGGAGCTGTATCCATATTTAATGCTGCTCCTGCATTAAGATAATCGACAGCATATTTAAATATAAATGGCACGGTTACACTTAATACTTTGGCTCCCACCAAAAGAGACACAGCTAGTTTGACTCGATCTCTTACAGATTTATCATCCTTTGGCCAAATGTACTGCAACATCGCTTGTATCATTTCTACTCCCGTTACAGGTGGTCTCCCTTGTAAAGGGACAGCTTCTCGTGACAATGCTGATGCCCCTGGATGAAAACATCCTCGAGCAGGTTGGCTTTTTGGTATAATTGATGGTATTTTATTTGATAAGACAGCTAGAATGCCTCCACCTGATTTGATTTTATCTGGTTGCACCTGTTTGTGTTTAGTGCTGGACTAAAATTGTAGGAAACTTAAGTTCGCTGCAAAATAACCTATAAAATTACGTAAAACTTACTTTTTGCAACTGGTACACTACAGGATAATACTGATTTGTCGGTTTTCTTTTCGTATAGAGACAAGTGAAGGTTCTTCGACTAAAAGAATTTTTTAAATGCACGTTTATTAATTTCACGTTACTTTTACTTAAATTTATGACAGCAGCCATTCTTGCGCAGAAGACCTACCCGCGTTGTGAGGGATTTGAACTACCGATTTTTGTAGCTATTATAGGCAATGACTTAATGACTATATGCTTATAGCATATACTACTGCTCTAAGACTATATGCGAAATACCTACTTTCCAGATATGATAAGAAGTAATTGCAAACTCACGCATTGCTGGTCCATTAGTTTTTGTATAATTTTTTGTAAATCTCCCGCCACTCCACATTTAAAAAAAAATCTACTTAGCTTTATTGTTAGTTTCCACTTATGCTAAAAAATTATGAGATCACAAGTAAATAAAACGACAACTTGATATGATAATATATTTTGAATAATCAATAAAGAAATATATATTTACAAAATCCAAAATAACTTTTAACAGTAACATATAAAACATGTAACGATGTTTTTTAAGCTATTAGGACCATAACCACTGAAAAATATTTTAGATAGCATAATACTTAATAAAATGATTATGTAATGTTTGCATAAAGGAAACAAAATAAGGCGAAAGTAATAAATATTATGGTGAAAACACCAAATATTCCACGATTTCTTACAAAGATTTTACCAAACACAATTAAAATGATTAGACATAAACAAAAATATGATCGATTTAAAGCTTCACAGAAATTAAAAGGTTTTTTTCTTTGGAAAAGATTACTTATTAAATATATATAAACCTTAACGTAAAACTAATTTTAATGGAATTTACAAATGAATGATGTATATTTAATAAATGTAAAACTTTATGAAAATATGTGGATTTTGGTGTCTCATATATATGTCTTATAGTTTTATGATAGTTCAGTGCAAATAATAAATATGTCTTGTAAAAAAATTATGCTTCATCAGCCTTTTCATCCTCAGTTTTGGAGTTTTCTTCGTTTTCTGCCTTGTCGCCTGCTCCTTCAGCAGTATTTTCCTCACTTTTTGCTTCTGTTGTATCTTCGGTTTCGTTCTTCGATTCTACACTTACTTCAGTATCTTCGTTTTCCTTTGGTTCTTCTTCGCCTTTCACTTCGGCATCATTTGATTTTTCTTCAGACTCTGTTTTCTCTTGTTCGTTAGGCACTTCGTTTTCTTTTATTTCACCCTCTTCTTTTGTTTCTACTTCAGATTTTGTTTCATCAGGCGTTACTTCACCATTCTTTAACTGAATTTCGGCGTTAGATGTGAGATTCACATCTGAATCCGTAGATTCTAATTTGAGGAATTTCTCCATTTCATCAATTTCGTTTGCCATGTCGAACTGGTCATAATCCTAACAACAAGTAATATATTAATAACTATTTGGCATCACATTGTTAACTCCTAATTTTCGTAAAAATTTTACCTTTTTTTTTCATTAGTTATCATAAGTATTACTGCATGAAGCATTGGTTATATTGTTTGTAATGTAATTAAATGCAACAGGATTTCCTCAATGATAGGAAAAAACTGACAAAAAAACAGTACATAAATATTGACACGGATGGCAAACCGTTATTTACAGCTGCTAATGTCAGGCGTAGAAATAGTTTGCGAATTTTCAAGGTTGAAGCATCAGAAATATTTTACTTCAAATATAGAACCCAAATTTTTATATTGCAAAATTTCATAACTGATAATATTGTTTCCAACTGTTTGCAGTGTTAAAATACTAAACATACATTATTTCATTGTACTTTGACTTTTGATAGTTTTGTGTGTAAAAAAAGTAATGCAATATAATAATATTTGAGGAGCTCGTGTGCAAAACCAGATATATCCATTTTTTTCACAAAATCGTTTTTAGTTGGTTTCTGATTGTATGTCGTGAGATCTATCAGTACCTGTATTTATTTGCGACCAGAACGAGGTATATCCTATTCAAATCATCAAGCAAAGTTTAGGATTTGGAGCAAAACCGGTTATATCCAAATTTTGCTAATAAAAACGATTATATGTGTGAACAAGTCTGTGCGAATCGGTGTATTTTATTTCTTTAAAAATTCAGTCATCACATGAAAGAAAATTACATAGAAATTTATTCAGAAGTAGGTTCTGTAAAAACACTTGGTTCTGACTGACAAATGTATGATGTCAAATAATTGGAAAAGATGTTTAAAAAAGTAAAGGAAATTTCCGATTGCAAAAATATCGTCTTGAAAAAAATTCATGAATAAAAATAATGAAACTACTATTAAAATATTGATGTTTGAATGTTATCAGTTCACTTCTGGTATTACAACTTGGCAATAGCTTATCAAGAAGGGAAAATCTGAAAGCAATATACAGCTAAATAGATTACCATTAGGTAATTCTATACCAGATAAAAAGAAAAAAAATTGAGGCATTTGTTTGATGAAGGAGCACTTTGGAGAAGAGTGGCAAAATAGGGAAGACCTTTTGTGGTATAAAAACTTGTTAGTCAGTATCAGAGAAAGAAACTAAGACTTTTTAGAAAATAGCGAAACCCAAGAAGATGAAAACGAGATATATGACTGACAAGAGGAAACTGCAATACATGTTTAATTTGTTTTGTATATTTTGTTAATATATTTAACTTTTGTTTGTTTTGAAAGAAATAAAATGATTTTATTTTGAAAATGGTTCTCATTTGGGTGCAAAACTGGATACTTATATTCAATTTATTGTGGCCAATAACGCCAAATTGTTGACTAAAAAAATTTTTTTTAAATTACGTGTCAGTTGGTATAACCCATTAAAGTAAGTAATTTCCTTTTAAACAGCATTTTTTCTCTTGAAAACTTTCCAAAAGTGGATATATCCGGTTTTGCACCCGTCCTTATTTGTTCAAAGTAACTTCAAATTTAGCCTTACTACCAATTCTATAATTCCAAGAGAAATAAATAATTGGCTGTTGTAGGTACTCCTAATTTAGCAACATAATAAGATATGACTGAAACTAAAATTTAATAAAAATTCTTTACTCTAAATATTTCAGTAAAAACACCATCATTAACCTCTTTTTAAAATTATATAAAAGAATTTCAATGAAATATGGATAAATAAAAGTCATTATATTTACATAAGTATTCTACAAAACAATATTCATATAAGTATCTTTTATATAAAACATTTCTCATATTTCAGGTTTTTTTGAAGTTAAAAGAGGAAAAACAATTTATAATGAATTTTCTTATAAAAATATGTCAGTTTTTTCATTTTTTAAAGTGAATAATAATTTTGTTAAAGTTATTTATTTGCAGCATATCATTTGTTTTTTATTTTTGGGTATTTTGCCAACTGCGAAAAAAGGAAAAAAAATTGTGAAATATACAGGGAAATATACCCTTGTAACAAAATAATAATATTAACCGACTGATATCTAATTTATTCACATAAAAACCAGTAATCACATAATATTTTTATATCTTAATACGTAGGTACTTAAAAAGTGATTAATAGTGAAAAAATTGCTTTTATATAGATTTTTATTATGCTCATTCTTTATATGATGTATCAATTTTTAATCCTATAATCTGAAGATACATTTTTAGGAAATCTGTTTACTTCACCGCAGATTGAAATACCCAAATACAATATGAATCAACAATAATTATTTAATATACTAAATAAACAGTACTTTTAATTTTTGTATTAATCTAATAATAATAAAGGTTATAATGATGGACTTTAATGAAATTCATTGTATAGCATTAATTGAATACATAAATATACATACACCTTTTATGCAAATTTTTACAAAATTTAATTAATATACATATGATTAAACTTAGAGTAAGTGTACATAAGGCGTTAATTAAAAATAGGTTTTATTAAACATGGGAAATGGGCTATGTCTAACCATAATTTCTAAAACTTGTAAAAGTCTAATCTGTCTTATTATAAACAAATGTAGTCGCAACTCGATACATGGGCCTGTATGTCTCATACTTTATAATTTCTATAAACACATTTGTGAGTAAATGGTCCAGGTGACTCATTCATACAAATCCTTGACAAAATTTACCAACACAACATTAAATTCTCAACAATAAAATTAATTGATTACTTACCCCGCAGTAATCATCATCATTGAAGATTTGTGGAGGTAAGGGATGCCTAGGGCTTGGGTCACTGATAGTAGCTCCCAATGATGTACACTTATTCTGCATGAAATCTTTAACCTCTTCGGCGCCGGGCTCGGCAATATCTATCACTTCGTATTTTACATTTTTCGAATCTAATATTAACAATACCCTTTGCTGGCGTTTCTTCACCTGCCGAAAATAACAGGTGTATTAAATAATTATGAACGTCACAAGAATAATTTTTTTAGTTTACATACCTCTTTGTTACCAGAAATGCCGCTAATGTATACTTTAATAACCATTTCGACGGTTACTCTTTAAGATTTTATTACTAAAATCATAAAAATATACCTATTATAATAATACCCTTTTGACAGATTTGGCAGTGTGGCGCCACTCCTTTCTTCTTTTTTAAGTATAGCTGTAGCGTAACTTGGCTTGTACTTCAAAAGTCCAGACGCAAACCAGAAATAATTTTTTATCTTGGTCTATGATAGAAAAAAATTCAATTATACGACGGCGCCTCGCCCTCAAGATCACTTTGATTGAACTATGTAGTACCGCTTTAGGTGCTAGTTGATCACACATTTTATAGAAAGGAACGCTACTATTGCCGTTCCGTTCTGTATTACTAATACTCCGTGCTGTAACTATCTTCATTACGCTTTTGTGTGCTAGAAGATCACGTCGTGTTTGTTATAACTAGACTAATTTGTTTTGTTTTAGGAAAATAAAATAGGATTAACAATGGGAAAGTCAAAAAGGAAAAGAAGCTTATCACGATCACCGTCTCCAGGGTGTTCTAGTCGTGGAAAAACCCTTCAATTGGAAAAAAGGCTAAAAGCGTTGGAACGACGCTTTAGACGCCATAGTGAATCCAGATCATCCAAATCCCCAACGTCAAAAAGGTCAAAACATTACGACAGAGGAAGCTTAAATTCAAGGGGTGATCGAAACTCAAGGCAAATGCCAAGAAACTCGACACCGGTTCGAAGTCCCAGAGACTCGACATCCTTTGGCCAAGAAGGTTTTACCCCTTCTTTAACATTACAAGATGGCTCGGAAGGTTTTACCCCTTCTGTAATATCTGCCAGAAGTATTNTGAAAAAGTAATGCGATAGTTCTTTCTTATATTGGAATTTAATTAGAAAATATACGCGACAGAGCGTGATACGAGATTCAATATATGAAACGGGAATGAGTGAGGAAGTACAAATTGTACTTGTACATCCGCACTGAATACGATTCCCTGATGCGGATCTTTTGATGCGGATCTTTATGTTGATACATTTCGCATCATGCGGATCATTAAAAAGATCCGTATTGCCCATCTCTAAGCTGTAGCGTAACTTGGCTTGTACTTCAAAAGTCCAGACGCAAACCAGAAATAATTTTTTATCTTGGTCTATGATAGAAAAAAATTAAAGATTTCAAGAATTATATTTGTTCTGTTTTTTATATGAAATGATAAATTTGCAGTAAAACTACGTGTGAATGTTTAAAACAAATATAATAGAAATTGTTTACTAGCGTCATCTACATTTTAGAGCTTGTTCTGTTCTATATTTGGTGTCGGTGCATACCATGAATTTTGTCAGATATTTTCTTTTTTTGAAATATTATTTTTCTTGTAATAACTTCTACAGTAAATTTTCTGTTCAAAGTAGATATGAAAATCTATTTTGTACTGATTTTTATTTAAATTTTGGTAACTTTACTGTTTTGGAAGAAGAAGAAAGTAAGACGTATTTTCTGTTTTGTGCATCTGCGCATTATGACTACAGAATTTTCATGTTTATTGCTTTGGTGAGTCAGATGACAGTTTAAAATAGCTTGTTTTTTTTTAATTGAATTTGTTAAGAATAAACTATTCTAGGATATAAATAATATACAGAATAAACAGTACACATTAGATATTTCAAAATGGTTGTGAAATTACCGCCTATACCGCCAGAAGTAAAACCGGTGGCTCATTTACTAAAATTAGCAGATGAACATGATGACAGAAATATTGTTGTTGCTTATTGGGGTAATTTTTTTTGTGACATGATTTTTGATACAAATTTATACATTCTTCTTACATCTACAGCACGTATGTCCGCTTGCCTTCTTGCCTTACGTATAGTCCCAGGAAAGAAATCTCCAGAGACTGCTGACCTAATTCGTGCTCTCCTGGACTGGTTGGAACAAACAAAAAAACAGCATCAAGATAATGACGGAATTACAAGTGAAACCACAGCTCAAGCCTTAATCGAAGAATATGCTCTGGCTTTGTTTGAACATGCTGATGAACAAGATAAAGCCGCCATTTTCAATAAGTATTTATAACTTTTATCTAATATTTTCAGTCATTTACTATATTATATTACCCCAACTGTTTGACAGTTGTATTGATTTGTTTTTTCTTTTGTAGGAACACAGTAAAGACTTTTTACACTTCCGGTATGTTGATGGATGTTCTGGATCAGTTTGGTACACTTCCGGATGATATTAGGGAAAAACGTAAATATGCCAAGTGGAAGGCTGCCTACATTCACAACTGTTTAAAAGCTGGAGAAATTCCTTTACCTGGTCCTCCTAAGAGTGCTAATGATCCGGGCAACATCGTTCACAATAGTCAACTTTCCGAAGAAGAGCTCTCAACTTATACTAAATTTACGGGACCTATTCCTCTAACTCCAGAAGGTAATGCAATTCAGTTAACTAAACCTGTTTTATTTAACTTTTTTTTCAATAAGTCGATTAATTAATAGGTTTATGATTGGCTAGCAACCTTATATTGGTAAAAATGTAAAACAAATTTAAATGGTGGTAAATTTGCTAACTTTAATAAATTAACCAAGAAATTGGAGACAATATAATCGATTTTAGATTATTGGTCAATGTTTTTAAAATAGATTGATAGACTTAAAACTGGCTATGTCAATCTATATCACGTTTATGTTGTCGCCTTATCTGTAAATAGTGAGGTCTCATAATATACAGTTGTCGTTGTTTTATAAGCCATAAATAGTTTAGGCGCTTTAAACAGATAGCACTATAAGAGCATTGCATCAAAAATACTCTCGCTAATTTTGATGTTGACAATGAAATCTTTATAAAGACGTATAAATAAAAACCTCTAAACTTTTATCACAGTGGCGGCAATTTTTTCCCTGATGAGGCACCTGTACCTTTCATTCTAATTTTTATATGCATATACATTTAACACGTTGACTGCCACCGGCCATTAGTCAATTCCGACTCCGGACGCCACAGTCTATAAACTATTTTATACAAGAGGAAAGAGTGAAATTATGATTTTTTCATACTTTTTGTGACAAAATGATGTTCATATTTGCAAAATAACATCGTACGAATTATGCTGCGTATTGTCTCACTGCACACTAGCTTTCATTCAGTTTTATGAGGCGAAAGGACAGCATACAAAACAAATCGTGTTACGAAAACGAAATATAACAAAGAGAAATTAGAAAATATGTGAATACAGATGAATCAGATTGGGAAGACTTTTTAGCGGACTGTTCAGATATTGACAAAACTTACGAGCCGTTCGATACAAGTTTACAAGAAACTGATCCTGAACAAAATGTACTCGAAGAAAATGAAGAAAACATTCAACGGCAAAGTAAAAGTACTGAGCAAATCATTTCTTGGTGTCAATATTCAGCAAGAACCACTTGAATTTGATTTTGTAGAGAATTATGGCTTGCAATTCGACTCCCAAAATTTGACCATTTTGTTGACCTTTTTTTCACAGAGGAATTTTTAAATAGGAAAAAGGGGGCCAATGAGAAGGTATTCACGATTAACACGTTGGAAAGATGTTGACGGTGCAGAAATGAAAATTATTCTTGGTTTGTTACTGCATATGGGGCCTTGCACACTTCCACGTATTGAACATCATTGGAGAACAGACATTCTATACAAAATGTCATGTTGGAGTTCAAATATGAGCCGTAACAGATTTCAGTTGATTTTACGTTTCCTACATTTTTCTGATAAGTCTAGATAGCAACGACAGACTCTATTAAATAAGGCCAGTGTTCAGTGTTAAATCACTTCAATAAACAATGCGTGAGAAAAATAACAAAAATTTCGCTTCATTTTCAGTGAATTGTTTTCGAATAAAAACTATTTTATTTCTATCCTTCCAAATTATTTAAATCGTAGTGTAACACACCACATTATTTTTCTTGCTTGCATTAGTTTCTCCGTTTTTTAGTCTCTACATTATACAGGGTATCTCAAAAGTATGGAAACCCCAGAATAACTCGGAAGTAAAGGGCTATACAGAAAAACGTTTCATACAAAAGTTTCAGGATTTTTTCCGGTCTATTCAATGATGACCTTTTTGATTTTTTCAAATGAGAACCCCTACTTTTTATCACGCCATTGGAAAGAGCAGACAATTTTACGTCCGAATATGGCTTTGACCATGACCTTGAGATCATGGTTATTTCAAGGTAGGGATCAATCTTTGTGAGAGTAACCCATAATTTTGCATCTGAATATGACTTCGTGACCATTATTTTTTTGGATCACTTCAGACCACTTTTGTATGAAATGTTTTTCCGTATATCCCTTTCCTTCCGAGTCCAGGCGATATCTATCAAAAATCTTATTTGACCTTAAAATGACCTTTACCGTGGTCTCAAGGTCATGGTCAAAGTCATATTCGGACGTAAAATTTTCCGCTCTTTTCAATGGCGTGATAAAAAGTAAGGGTTCCTATTTGGAAAAATGACCTTGACCTTGGAATGACCTTCAAGGCCAAGGTCAAATTCAAGGTAGTCATTGAATAGCCCGTAAAAAATCCTGAAACTTTTGTATGAAACGTTTTTTCATACAGCCCTTTACTTCCGAGTTATTCTGGGGTTTCCATACTTTTGGGATATCCTGTACATTTTTTCTTTATTAAACACTTTTCTCTTCAGGATTATGATAGAAAGTATATAATACATATATGTAATATAACTGTATGCATAGATAAGTCGTAATTTGTTACAAACGTACTAACTGGTGTCAACAGAGTGGATGCCGGCGGGGCGGTTGGTTTTAAAGCCTTATATTACTATTGGTCGTTATAATCGATAGATTCTATGGTAAATGTATATAAAAACACGTTGCTAAATCCGAAATGTCGTTGTAAACGGTGTCGTAGTAAATGATATTTTTAATATGGTATTTCTATAGGATTTAATCGAGGCTTCCAAATTCCACCGTTACATCCAATATGTCATATACAGCAATGTTATAACCAATTTTCACTGTACTGCCATGACCGCCAATGAATTTTTTTTAAAGAAATTGAATTTTATGTCCACAATAGTTGTTTTCATCCCCGTAAGAGGGTGATGAAGAAGGTGGTTTAGAATGGTATTCTTTGTACCGTCTGATTTAAGTTGCTCAACAAAAAATATATTTTACAAACTGGTTTATAAATAATTCTTTGTGTAATTATAAATTCTTTTTTCACCTCCATATAGGGGTTGTTTTGACTGTGTTCCTGTCTTTTTCGGGAAAAATAAATAGCATATTCGTATTCAGCACCCCAAAAATTAGAATAAAAATACTGGTTTCACATTTTTCCTTTGATGGTCCAAAATTGCCTTTACGGGATATTCTCCAACAAGAGTATGACATTTTTAAAGAGTAGGTTACACAGTTGCTTTAGTTTGGCATAAGTTGTTATAAGTCTATCATGATTTGCAGTTTGCTGTTGTTATGATTAATTGTTGCTTCAAAATTTGGCCATTGCAATTGCTGTATATCGATATTTAGACTGGAAAAGGATACATCCTGTTGCTTTTATCAAATTGCTGACTGTTGTTATTAATTTTTCTAGAAATTAGCAAATTGTTTGCAGATAAACCACAGTTTCCCAACACTCCACCGCAGGACAACTTCGGCTTAAACCTACCTAAGCCAGATGACAATTTCACTCACGCACCGGCATCTTCACCGGTTACACCCCTTATACCACAACAACCGGTACCATCCACTCCCATAGTACCCCCACAACCTTCGACTACCTTGCTGCCGGCTCCGGGCAACGGGGAACAGGTGTCCATCACTCCTGAGCAGATCCAGAAGGCGCAGAAGTTCTGCAAATTTGCTACTTCGGCCTTGAATTACGACGACGTGAAAAGCGCCATCGAAAATCTCCACAAGGCCTTGAATTTGTTGCAGCTAGGTAGGGAAGAGTAAAAAGAATAAATGTCTACTTTTTATAACGTTTGTTTTTATTTTTTAAGTTTTAAATTAGTTTGTATTTCATGCGGAATAGGAGAGAGATGTTTGTGGTACTATTCTGTGATTAACGATATGCTTTAATTCCATTTGAAGTTTCATGTACCTAAACTGTAACCTTAAGTAGTTAAATTAGAAAATATATTCGTTTCGATTAATAGTATCAAAGTACTTCATGCCTTTTCCATTAGAATTATCTTTCCGATGTTAGCCGGCTGGCACGTTTGTTTAATTTCGATTTCCATAAGGATGTAAATAAGAATATTGGTGATGTATAGTTTTATATCTGTTCAGTGTTTCAAATAAAAGCTTATATATTGAATGTGTTTCTTTATTTCATATTTCAGGTGTATAATAAAAGGCTGTCTATTAGCAGTCTAAAATAATTATGACTAAGATTATTTTGAAAATAAATGAGGCTGGAAAATTTAATTTTTTATTGGGCGAGTTCCAATTCTGTCCTTTATCTTTCAAGATATAAAAGAAACAATAAAATATGAAAATATGATAAAATGAAAATTTTGTGTTGTGTAAATTATAAAAAAAAACATTTTTAAATGTTCAAATTGAATGTTTCTCTGCAATTATAGTGATGTAAAGCGTTTGATGTGTGAGTACGCCCAGTATATGTAAAAGAGATATCCTGACGTTCGGCCACCGGTTTTTGTTGAATATTTTTACCCCAGGTAGAAGTCGAGTACCTACATTCCCTTTTCCTTTTGACTTCGACATGAAGAAATATCAATTACAGTCACTTGAAAAGGGCCCCACCAATGTGTCTGTCCCTAATAATAAGAGCGATATAGATGGTTTAAACAGTGTTCCACAAGCTTAATTCGTTAGATACAGCATTGGTTACCTAGCAAATGACAATAATTTCTGTATCAGGCATGTGATCAGGTTAGGTTTATGTCACATTATTTTGTGCATATCTTCCTTTCTATGAAAATAAATCAACCAAAGCTCATACTCATTCAAATGTAAAAAGCCTAGGGAGTTCCATTTAAAAAATAATACGTTGCTTCTACCATCTATAATTGCAGTTTCTTTTAGTTATCTGGCTTTTAAAATCTAAAAACAAATTTGAACATTTGAAATTTGAACTACAGTTGCTTTATCCTGTAATTTGAACTACTCAGAATTTAATTAGGTACTACCGCCATCTATCTGTGAATGCTGTGAATAGTGCAGTGTGGCATTTGTAAATTACTGTAATTTTGCGTATTTCGTCAGGAAGTAAATTAGATAGATTTTCTATATAGCTAATAGAAGAGATAGATAGGCAACTCCCATTACACCACTTGATGCCCCATGTAGGGCGCCCTCTGACGAGAAGTCCGCCCGAGTTTGAGACATAGGGGAGATAGGGGTCACAATGTGTTATTGGGGGAGATATGTGTATATATAAATAATTTATATTATTATGAATTTTTTCAATTGGAAAACAAGTTCACAGCTTGGATCAGAATAAAATAACTCTTTAGTCCACAGTTTTTACTGTCAACGTTTCAGTGAGTATTTGTCACCTTCCTCATGGCTACAATACATAGTAGAAATATTTATATAAACATATTTCCACTACCTATGTATTTTTAGCCCTCAGATAGATTTGAAACAGTCACCGAAACATTGGCAAGAAAAACTGTAAAATAAAAGTCATTTTATTCTGGTCCAATCATCTGTAAACTTGTTTTCCTAGATGTTAACACTAAATAATTATTTTATTTTAAAGTTTAAAGATCAAAACAATATATATTAATCTGTTATCAGTAAATAAACAAAGCACCTACAAAAAGAAGTCACCAATTTATATTTTCAGTTAATTTTTATAAGGAATTTTACTTGTTATGCCTTTCATACATATAAAAAAAGTCATGAAAAGTCCAATTAATAAAGTAATATGAGTTTATTTAGTTGATCATATAAGTAGAATTACAAATTAACATGTAGAAAAAAGTATGAAACAAGATCAGTTATCTCTATAAAATGTGAAATTTATGAATACAGTAACATATCAATTCTGTTATCGTAATAGGCCTTGTTCGGAGAACGATTCCGTACTACAGGATATTTTCTGTCTCTCGGACTGGTGTGAATAGACTTCGGATCCTAATTCAATTCACACCAATCCGAGAGGCAGAAAAGTCAGGGACTAGTATGGGACTACTCCATCAACAAGGCTAATACACACCGGGTCGCCGGATCTTTTCCATTCGCCATCAAGCATAAGTGTATGAATATTAAAAAACGAGTTCAGTTAAAGTCACTATAAGTAGATGTTCAAGAATTTTACTACTAGACAATATCCAAGCTCTGATAATAAGTTATTAAGATAAAAATGTTTAGGCACTGTTAAAATATTGCAAAAAGGAAGGTAAAATTAAAACATGGTGAGGACGTAATGGAAATGATTAAACGGCATAACTTTATTCGCATTACTTATACATAAATACTGACCTCAAAACAAATTATAGTATAAGTGATAGGGAAAGATAAAACACCTGTAAAAGAATCATTTAGTTTCCCCTATTTTTTTTCGTGTTTGCGAATAATCAAAGGCAGCTTTATACACTACATCTAAAATTTTATGTCTTGTATCCAATTTCGTTAATTCCCGAAATAAAATTTGGAGTACAATATTTAAGTTTATTGGGGACACTGTTGGCAAATTCTTTTGCCACACATAAATCATGCCATTGATAAGTTTATTTGTGCAAGGATTTGAAAATTCCGCCAAACTCATAGACTATAAACAGAACAGGGAAAAAATATTCTTCTTTTCAATATGATCGACCTCTTCAAAGTCATGGTTCTTTATCCCCCCCGCCCGCTAACCTTTTCTGTTTCAGAGACAGCCAGGATCAAGAAACGAAGACAACGACACACACACATACACACCCCCCATACCCTCCTTACCCCTTCCCTCCCGCGCTAGCCTAAGGGCCACCTTAGCAAAACGCATCCCAGGCTGCATAGCCGCACTGCCCTACCCAACCATACCACACATAAATATGACACAACCCCCGGGGTTTACACAGACGAGCCGGCGAAGCAAGAAGAGCGCCAGAAGAAAGGGCCCTAGCCGGCGGGGCCCAGCCAGGACAAAAGGAGGTCCCACAAAGCGCCTACACCGGCCGCATTTGCGGTCGGGGTAGACGACGGATGGGGCCCACCTACGAAGGCTGTCCAGGCCTACACGAGATGAGGCAGGATAAAGGGGGATAATCCCCCTCGATCCCAAATCATTGAGGCCAATTTCTAGCCATGGAATAATGGCGCGGCGCGGTTCTTTATCCTTTTAGAATATATGTATTTATAAAAAAGTGTATGCGTGTATCATTTGTATTATTGTATTATACTGTAATACTACTAATACTAACAGTAGTAGTGGCAGTATATTATACTTCAGACGAAGAATTTAAAAAAAAATGATAGTGATATATGTACAGGGTGTCCTCAGTTCAGGTTGCCTATACCTGAAATGGATACAAAATTTCTATTGTCAAAAAAAAATCATTCTTCATAAAAATTTTTACTTGTCTAGAAGCCCTTGACAAGACAGTCATTTGTTCAATTTAATGTACAGGGTGTTCAAAAATTTGGAAAAGGTAAAAACAGTAAAGAGTAAAGTACCTTAAATCTTAACGTTACTTGAAAAAGTAATGGGGAAAAGTTGCTTGGAATTAAATTTTATGTTTAAATATAAAAGCATAACCTTCTAGTTAGTTAATACTCGACATTCTGGGATATTCTAGGACCCTACTTATTTTTTAATACTTTCGGATAACGTTTTTCTGGCCAGAATTAGAAGAAGAACATTTGGAATATAGACAAAGAGCGTATTTCCCACAAGACGGTTGTCCCGCTCACTCAACAATTATTTCTAGTCCGCAATTGGTTTAACAGAAAATTTCGAGAGAAGTGGATAGGAAGATATGGTCCTATTTGTTGGCCAGCAAGGTCCCCTGACTTATCGCCGCTTGATTATTTCCTTTGGGGGTTCTCGAAAGAGTGTACAGAGAACCAGTGCAACACAATGTTGATTTCTTGAAAAGCAGGATAATTGAAGCTGTTGCCCAAGTAAATGAAGAAATGATACATTCAACCTACGTTAGTTGCATTTAGAAAAAGATTGGAGAGGTGTGTTGAACTTGGCGGACTTCATGTAGAATAGTTTTGTAATGGCGCGTACATACTGATTCTGCTGTGTTCTCAAAATAAATGTTGGATTAATGTTTTTGAGGTTTTTGATCCCCCTGTATAAAAAATAAATTATTAATATGCAAACATATGTATCTGTTTTTCAATAAAGAAATATTTTTAAAATAGAATGGCTTTTCCGAAAGTATTAAAAAATGGGTAGAGTCCTAGAATATCCCAGAATGTCGAGTATTAACTAGAAAGCTATGCTTTTATATTTAAACATAAAATTTAATTCCAAGCAACTTTTCCTCATTACTTTTTCACGTAGCTTTAAGATTTAAGGTACTTTAATCTTTACTGTTTTTACCTTTTCCAAATTTTTGAACACCCTTTGCATTAAATTGAACAAATGACTATCTTGCCAAGATCTGCTGGACAAGCAAACATTTTTATGAAGAATGATTTTTTTGACTATTGAAATTTTGTATCTATTTCAGGTATAGGCAACCCGAACTAGGGACACCCTGTATATGTGATGTCTGTTCGTATTTATTATATGCAGAGACCTTCAAATCAATATTTGTATACTTTTTATAGTGATTTTATACAATTTTAAATTAATTTATTGTGTATGCGAGATAGCTAGGTATTCTACATCTTTATATGTTATAAAAACAAATCTTCAACAGCAATTTAGCAGGAATATGGAATGTATAAGTATGCCCTCAGAATGGTGCTATACCTTTCTGTATTATTAAGATGCATCTCCTTTGTTCCCTCTCGTAAAACCTTCGTCTCAAACGAAAAGGAATTTTTGTCTTCTAATATATCTCTTTTATTTTTTCCAAGACACTTCTTACGAAAACATGATACAAAAAATTATAACTCCCTAGTATATAACTTCAAAATGCATCTGAAACAACGCTAAAGACACGAGTCTCGCAATAAAAGTGATAAGTGACTGCTACAACGTAAAGTTTCATACTCTTTCAGAAAAATAAGGACATTTAATCCGAGACACGTAGAATATTAACATCTGCTTTTATCCTTGCCGGGATTCAGACGCCCTCTGACGGGTAATTATCACTTAAATAAGTTATTCTCTTAAAGATGGTTTCCAGTTTCGAGTACCCAATGTTGTGCTTTAGTTCCTTTTCCTTCAATTTTAATGGAAAGCTC